TGTGTGTGTGTGTGTGTATCCTGTTATAATAACCAACCCTCCTTTAACTTAATACTTGCATTGTCATTTCTTAGGTAGTTTGTTCTATATATTTTTGTTGTGATTTAAAGAGCCTATCTATGTTGTTTCCATTCATGTTTTTCTGCTAGTAGTTTGATAGTCAGAAAGTCACGTGTGTCTTATATACACATTTTACCCATAGTACTGTGACCATCCATGGTCAAGGTATAAGCATATTACTTCCAAACCTTTCTCTATGTTCCTTCAAAACATTTTTATTATATTTAAGTGTGTGTGTTTATTGTGTGTTTATATGTGTATATGTGTGTGTGTCTCATGCCGTGTTGTACATGTCTTCTTCCACCATGTGTGTCCTGAAGGCTGAACTCAAGTCATCCGTCTTGACAGCAGGTGCCTTTACCCTCTGAGTCATTTCACCAGCTTTTCTTGTGTTCTTTTATTATCTTTAAACTTTTAGACTTTTAGTCAAATAGGCAAAGAAATATTGTAGGGTAGAAATGTCCTTGGAAATGTAACTATATTTAGTTGGGAGTCCTACCATGCCCGTAAAGACAGAGCCCAGAATATTCTCATGACCGCTCCAGAAGAATCTCTTCAGTTCCCGGTGTCCCGTATTGCCAAATACCGGCTGATCTGTGATATGAAAAACTGCTGTCATCGTGACTCTTTTCACCTATTTATAAAGCTGTTTCACCCCTTGTAAAGTGCCCATCTTGTGATTTTGGCCTCATATTCTGCTAGTTGGCATCTATTTTTCTTTCTTCTTTGTAGAAGTTATTTGTATTCCATGCCAGGAGCAAGCAAATGATTTCCTCAAAAAGCCATATGGCAAATAGCCTAGGCTTTACTGCCTCTGTGAAAACTGCCTAGCTCTCTTGCTGTTGGCCGGAATTATCTATGGTTGGTAGATAATAGGGATAGCTATGCACCATAAGACTTTATTCTCCAGCCACACTTTGCCCTCCTGTTTTAAATCCTAAGTTTTTGTTTACATTTTAGAAATATTCCTAGTATTGACACAGCTTTACATTTTCATTATGACACATATGCTCTTTAAGTTTATGTAAATTTCTTGTAAGATTTGAATTTTTATGTATCTCTACTACAAAATCATAAAAAATATCCTGGATTTTCCTCTAAGAGTTTTAAAATTTGTCTCTCACATGTATATCTATATGAATTACCTTTTTAAAAAAATCTGGTAATCCATTGTATGAGGTCAAAATATTAACCTTGAAAGCCGAAGAGATGTCTCAGTAGCTAAGTGCACTTGCTGCTCTTGCAGAAGGCCCAGGTTTAATTATTAGCACCCACATGACTGTTCACAACCTCTGTAGCTCTGGTTCCAGAGGAATCCACTGTCCTCTTGTGGCCTCCGTGGCCACTGCCTTCACGTGGGGCACATTCAGACATGCAGGTGAAACCCTCCAGCATATGAGCATGTTAACCTCAAATCTCAAAACCCATTCTTCCTCACTTCCACAAAGGACTTTGATTCCAGTAGACAAGATTTTTTAAAAAGTAAGAAATGTCCTAGAAGGGAATAAAGGAGATGGTCAGAGATTAAGATTGGATTTCAGCATGATTAGTACTAATAGTTCACTGACTAAGGTTCCAGAGGTTGACCCCAACTCACCCTAAATTGACTTAAATTATGGGTTTTGTTACAGTTGATGGAAATTTCTACCATAATAGATTGATGGACACCCTGAAGTCTCTTAAAGGTGAGTGGAAAGCAGTATTTGCCATTTGTAACATTTTCTAGTAATTGAATCGCCAAGTCTACAATCCATCGCGTGTCTTTCTGTCTCCTATTAATCTGTGTTGCTGTCTGTGCCTCGTGTGCCATCAGGCTGCCTGCATCCTAGCACCTTGTCCTCTTGACTCTCCAGCGGATAGGTGCGCCATTTTGTGCTGGAGCTTCAAGTCATCGGTGTGGCAGGAAATAAATTGGAAATCTGAACAATGACTAAAAAGGAAAAATATTAACAATCTAAAAATCTGTTCCAGAGCTAGAAAACTTCATGGAGATGTCAGAGAAACAAATGATCATTGCACTATCTAAAATCCCAAGAGGAATTTTATTGTTTCATTCTGTGATATTAATATCTCTGAAACCACTGAAACATGATTGATTCTATTTCAAAAAGACTCAGAAAAGAAATTTTACTTTCACTGTGTTATGGTTTTGAACATTTAAATTGATGTCTGTGGATCTTGAAAATCCTGGAGTAAGCAGGAAGTCACTGTATTTGTCACATTTTGTCATCAATTTTTCTTCATGCTCTTTTTTCCCCATAAGGAGGGAAGGCTGATGTCAACAAACTGGACTCGGTGATGAAAAACATGGGGATGAAAGTTACAGAAACGGAATGGAAGGACATGACCAAGAGCTTACCAGTGGACGGTGAGTGTGTAAGGTCTAACAGCCCCAAAAGTACTGGAACTCAAGAGTTTTTGTTTGGTTTGGGTTGGTTTTTGTTGTGGTGGTGATGGTGATAGTGTTTATTTTTTGTTGTTGTTGTTCGTTAATTTAATATTTTCATGATTATTGTTTGGTAGATTAATATGTGAATAAAATATATTTAGATCATATCCACTCCCCCTTTCCCCTTCAGCTCTTCCCAGAGGCTTTCCTACCAACCTTTTCTCAGTTTCATGTCTCCCTTTCTTTTTCTTTCCTTTTCTTCTCTTTTCTGTTCTTTCCTTTCATTTTCTTCTTTCCACTTCCTTTTTGAAGACACACTGACTACAGTTAGTGATGCCCATATGCACATGAGTATAGGACCATTCTCCAGAGCACCCTCCCACAGGCCTCATTACCAGAGGACACTGACTCTTCTTCCTTCAGCAGCCATCACCCTTTAGCAGCTCCTCCCCTGTGCGTGCTAGGGAGGTCTTGTGATGAGACAGGTCTTGTGCGGGGCTTAGTGGTTTTGACAGCTTCCAAGCTGTGTTTGGCAACAAGGAGATATTGAGAAAAATCTAAACAACAACAACCAAAAAACCCTCAGGTTTGATATAAGAATATCTTGTAAATTATTCAGTAACTTCATACCAATAGTACATTATATTTGGCATGCTCAAAATTGCAATATAAAAAGAAATGTTTGCATGCCAGGGAAGAATACAAGTTGGGCTTTGGATCTGGGTAAAGGCAATTAATTGGTAGGACACAGCTGTCAAATTATCTTTAATTACTCAAACTGCAGTGTAGATAAGGAGTAGGAGGGACTGATAGAAGTACCACCTATTTTTTTCACCATGGCTTGTGACAAAGACCAGCAGCTATAATAAAGGATACAGATTAGATACATCTGCACCCAACACTGAAGCAAATTCATGTGTGAAAAGTACCTATTAATAAAGCAGAAGACAGGAACAGACTGGAATACAGTGATCATAGGGGACTTTAACACTTTTAGTGTCACACTGGCCAGATTTAGACAGGAAAATCAATAAGGAAGCATATGCTTTAGAACACATAGTCTGGCATCACCAGAATCCACATTCTCCTTATGCAATGGGCAATTCTCTAGGAAGACCATATACAAAATCACAAAATAGATAAGAAGAAAACTAGACATAGCTGGGCATAGATAGCATATGCCTGTAATTTCAACATTTAGGAGTCTGAGAGTTCATGACTTTCCAAATGTATATAATAAGTATCAAGGCCAGTTCAAGACCTCCACTTCAAAACAGTTACGTTACAATGAAGCAAGGAAGGAAAGGGGGAGGGGAGGAGACAGAGAAGAAAGATTGCTGACTACTTTTAGAGGACATGTCCCCAATAGACAACCTAGAGTTAGGCTTCAGGGAACTTGAAAGAATTCTAGTCAAAATTTAGAAGGCCATAAAGAAAGAGCATAGTCCAAATCAGTGGAGCACAGCCTAGAAACACAGTGGGAAGACAACAAAGCTAAGAGTTGAGCTTTTGAAAACATAGAATTGACAAGCCTTCAACTAGCCTAATAGGGAAAATAATAAGAAAGTTAAGATATACAAATCAGTAGTAAAATTGGAGACATTCTAAGCCACACCGTAGAAATAGAAACGCTCACAGGAGACCTGGAAGAGAGGAACAAAGCCCTAAACACACAGCCCACCTCTGTCAGCACTCGGGCTGCTGCGAGAGACCACCTGAGAGGAATGAGTCCAACAAGGAAATTAGACACAGAACGGCAGACTCTGTCACTCTCTCTTCCTGCTGGAGCTTTAAGAAGTATAACTCAGAACCAAAGGGAAACTGGAGGCAGCCAGGTTGGAGAAAGTTGGGGTAGGGAAAGAAGAGGTTATATGTTTAAAGGGTTCACAATTCCAATTTGGTGGGAGCATTATTGAGTTGTACAATATGTTTTCTATAGTTAGTAACAGTGCATTTTTACAGAGACAACTCCAGTAGCTGTGCCAGAGTGGAGGGGGAGCCCACGAGGCCTCAACCCTACAGAAGAGCTACAGGCAGTTAAGGGATTCTGGAAATGAAAGAAATAGTCTTCCCCAGGGACAAGTACACCACCTGGCTACCCGACATCAAATGATTGGCCCTGAGAACACATTTGCAAATAACACTGTTTAGAATGAGGACATTATATATGCATATACATACATTCATGCAATAATAATTACTGGGAAAAGAGGCTATGAGTTTGAAGGAGGGCAGGGAGGAAGGACATGAAAGAGCATCAGGAGGAGAAGGAGGGATAAATGTTTTAAGAGTAGTATCATCTCAAAAATTAAAAAATAAAAATAATATTGTACATTTTTTAAATTACTGAAAATGAATTATTTATTTTTTATTACTTTGAATGATAACAGATTATAGATTGTGAGTTTTTATATTTGTCATGTTTAAGTGTTTTTACCTCTAATTCAGCTTATGAAATATTTAAAGTATGTTAAAATGCTAGCTTACATACTGTTTAATTTAATAGCATGAGTCATGTTGTCTGAGTCTTAGGAGCATGTCCATATGTGAATGCTTATTTTCTTCCAGATGGACAAATTGAAATGAGGAAGTTGGTCGATGCAATGAAAGCTTTTACAGGTGGGTACGTTTAACATACTACTGAAACGCTCTCATCCTGTGCCCTTTCAAGTGGCATTTTATCCGTAGTATGTACTCGCGTTTAAGTTCTGCATTTTTACTCATTGCTAAAGAATGATTTTCTTTGTGGGTTGGGGAGATGACTCAGTGGATAAAGAGTTTGGCATATGAGCATGAGGAACTGAATTCAAATCCCTAACATCCGTGTAGAAGTCAGGCATGTAGTACTCATAAGTACCTGAAGAGTCAGCTAGACCCTGGGGGCTTGTTACATTAGAGGGCCAGTTTAGCCACCAGTGTCTCCCAGACTCAGTGACAGAAGAATGAGGAGGGAAACAATAGAGGAAGACCCTCAGAATCAACCTCCAGCCTACACACACACACACACATACACACACACACACACACACACACACATACATACACACGCCACACACTCATGCACGTGCACACACACACATATACGCACGGACACACATACACTCACACTCGCATGCACGTGCACATACACTCTCACACACACATAACATATGCATGCACACACACAGGCAAACGCACCATCCACATACACATTTAAAATAATAAATTGTTATAAAATTCATCTGCTACTGCTTCTGATACCCCATTAGCAGGCATTAGTTTAGTGCTGAAACGCTATTTGTTTTCTGTTGGCATCAGTTTCCTTGTCTCTGGAGATACCCTATATGGGGGATTTTGTTTACTATGATATAAATATGCACATGTATTATTGTGGTAAAATATACACATATAACCTAGAAAACCATACATAGCAAATGTGGAGATATGTACTGGGCATAGTGACATACATCTTTAATCCCAACATGTACTGAGCATGGTGATATACATCTTTAATCCCACTCTCAAGAAACATAGACAGGAGAATCTTTGTGAATTCAAGGCCATATTGGTCTACATAGTGAGTTCTAGGAGAACCAAGATTACATAGTAAGACCCTGTATCATAAACAAACAAACAATTTTGGAGACCCAAAATGTTTCTGCTACTGTGAGGAACATTAGTTTTATTGATTTATTTTAGTTTTCTTGAGACGGGATTTCTCCGTGCAGCCATAACTGTTGACAGAGGTTTCTGTCCCACCAGGTCCCACAGCCATTCAGTCCCAAAGAAGCACACAGAGGTCTACATCAATTATAAACTGGTTGGCCTATTGACTTAGGATCTTTATTAACTCTTACATTTTACATTAACCCATAATTTTTATGTGTTAGCCGTGTGGCTTGGTACCTTTTATTAGTGAGGCTTTTTATCTTGCTTTTTCTGTGTTTGGATGATGACTGCAGACTGAGTCTTTTTTCTTTTTAGAATTCTTTTGTTTGTTTTTGTCACCCTGCCTCTACTTTTTGCCTGATCACCCCACCTATACTTCCTGTCTGGCTACTGGCCAATCAGCGTTTTATTAAAACAATACAGGTGACAGGGTACAAGACCATTGTCCCATAGCACATGGCTGTCCTGGAACTGGTGCTGTGGACCAGACTGGCCTTGAACTCCGAGATCCACCTGTCTCTGTATCCTAAGTGCTGGGACTAAAGGCGTGCTCCACCACCACCCACCTTGAAACATTAAGTCTTGTACTTTTAAATCAAAAGAATTATACTTGCAGAAATGTCTGGTTATTTCTGATTAGGCATCTAATTTTCTGAGCTATATTTACATTTATTCCTGCCACTTGGTCAAGTCTCCAAAATTAGAAAGTCTCTTTTTCAAACTAACAGTGGGGACAATATTTCAATGCCTCTTTCATTGATTTTATGTAGGCAAATGTTATTTTAACATTAGACTTTATGCCTTACAAGTACAGTTAAATATCTGGTTTTCCTAATGCCAATACTGCTGTGTTTTCAAAGGTAACAAGATTGCTCTCAGTGATCTACAAGACATTCTGGGAAGCATGGGTATTGAATTGACAGAAGAGATGCTCTCCAAGCTGCAGGAAAGCCTGCCTGTGGACGGTATGTAACATGAAGGCCTGCCTGTTGGGGTTTCTGTCACGCCCGGTACCCCAACAAGCCGGCAAGCCCAAAAGAAAATCACACAGAGTCTACATTAGGTTATAAATTGATTGCCCCACTATCTCAATCTTCTTATTAGCTCTTGTAGCTTATATTAACCCATTATTCTCATCTATGTTAGCCACGTGTCTCAGTACATTTTCCAGTGGGGGGGGGGGACAGGTTACATCTTGCTTCTCTGTGGTCTGGGCAGGAATGCGGAGGGAGCTTCCTGCTTCCTAGAATACTCCTGTTCTTATACCCCACCTCTACTTTCTGTCTGGTTGACCCACCTATACTTCCTGCCTAGCCAATCAGCTTTTATTTAAAACTTGATGGACAGAATTCAGACAATTCTCCCACACCAACGGTAAGCCTCAAAGACGCAAACAGGGGCTTCACCAAGGCATTGCCCGGGACATGGAGGAAACTCTAATTCCCTGTGAAAAATTCTGGAGTATAAACTCAGCCATAAGTCCTACGTACTACTAAGGGCTATGCAAAAGGCTACATAAAAAAGGTTGCATAAACTAGAAAATACAGAGGAAAATAAAGCATGAGAAACTAGGAAGGAAAAGAAAAGGAAAAAAAGCATGTATTTCGGTATTGCAGAAGTTTATCAAATGTGCCTATGTTCCACACACTACAGAACAACTGAAAATGGCATCCAGTGCCAGGTTTTGGAGAGTTATCAGAAAGCAGAAGTTTCTTGATCTCAAATTCATTTATATTTGAGGGCAATGTGATGCAAATATCTAAGGATATGTAATTTATCCTTAGATATTTACATAGATATATAATTTACATAGATATATAATTCTATGTAATCATAGTGTAAGTCTTTAATATTTCTGCTGTGAAATAAAACATTAGTATCCATGACAAATAAATGCATGATAAAATTTTGCGATTTTATATTATAAAAATATATAATAAATATTACTTTATTGTAGATGCTGAAATGGTTTTTCAGAAAAGATTGTTGAATGAAGTGAAGTCTCTCAAAGGTAAGTTAGAGAATTAGCAAGAAAAGAGAATTTTCTCAAAAATTTTATGGTATAGATAGTAACTCATTTTATATGAAATGTTTCTTACTCATAGGCCATTTCCTATTTATGCTTAATACATTTTTAAGAATATATGTAGTTTACCAAATTGTGCCTTAGATGTATCTTTGCTTAAACCAAAATAAATTTGGAATTTCCCAAATTTTACTCCAAAAGAATTGCTTCAGGTAGTTCTGGGTTTTTGTTTGTTTGTTTTTGTCAATTAAACAAGCAATAGTGGTAATAATAAGCTCAAAGCTTTGGAAAACACAAGTAAGCTTTATTGTTCAAAAGTCCAGCTGGCAAAGAGGGTGAGGCTTTTCCGGTGGGTTTGGCTCAATAGCAAACCCTAGGGGACAGCTTCTGATTTTAATGTCTTAACTCCACTGACTTTATCTGCTCTCTTGAACACAAAGTCAGACTGGTGTTTTAGTGTTCATATTGTGAGTCAGAACAATAGTATAAATATGTTAATCATTAAGTTTTTTCATTTTAATATTAGCATTTGCTCATTAAGTCAAGCAATGGTATGTGATTGTTGAAATAATGTTTTAAATTGTTCACTTTTGTACATTTCTAATGTAATGTTTTTCCAAGGAGGGAAAGTTGATGTCAACAACAATGACACCATCCTGGACAATATGGGGATTGAACTCACAGAGGTGGAGCTTAAAGACCTGCAGGAAGCTCTGCCAGTTGACGGTGAGCGTTATGGAACTGTTGTGTGTCTCTACTAAGCTATACAGGATTTCTAAAGGTTTTTTCTGTCAAAAAGACATTGGAGGAACATAAAAAGGCATTCTATTATTTCATTAAAACCCAAAGTCATCAGTCCCATTTCAAAGTAGATAAGGTACACCTGAGAGTAAAGCTAGGTTTGCTATCTAACCTCCCCTCCCCCCAAAAAATGGGGGGTGGATGCTAAGGAACAACAGCTATTCAGAGAGTAAAACACAAGACTCAAAGGAAATCATGACCTCAATAAAGAACAGTCCTCAGCCAGTCCTTTGGTGTTTTATCCCATCACATGTGAGCTTTGTGGTCCTCATCTCCATTCCAGTCTATGCCGAGCCTCTGACTCGTACCGCTGTATGCCAGCCAGACCTCGCCTCTCGAGTGAGCCTTTAGAAACTCAGTCTCCGCATTTCCAAGTGGAAACTCATTTTCTTGCCTCTCAAGCTGCCTTCTTCTGAGTTGGTAACCACTCGCCTCTTACTCATCCAAACTTAATTACAGTGTCATCCTCTTTGCCATTCTTTCCCTTCCTCCCACAGTTGCCTCAAAGGCACATGTGTGTTTCCTTAGTTTTCCGTGAGTTCTGCTCCTCTACTAGCACTGACCGTGCTTCAAGACGGTCACCTCCAGGTGATGCCCTCATCACCTGGTCTTAAAATCTGGTCTTAAGCAGATTGGTCTTAAAATGCTTTTGTGCTTTTTTCTCAGCTTATTATTTTTTTAAACTCTATTTTATGTGTATGGGTTGATTTACCTGCATGTATGTTTGTGCATTATATATGTGAGGCCAGAAGAGGGTGTTAGATCTCTTGGAACTAGAATTATAGACAGTTGTGAGCTATTATATGGGTACTGGGGGTTATTTCTCTAGAAGAAACTACTGAACCATCACTCCAGCCTCATTTCTGAAGATTTATTTAAGTTTTAAATTATGTGTGTCTGTGAGTGTGTAACTACACACGTGTGAGTGTAGTGGCTGCAGAGTCCAGAAGAAAGCATCAGATACCCCGGAACTGGAATGACAGGCAGTTGTGAGCCACCCAACTTGAACGTGGGTTCTCTGCCACAGCTGTAAGTAATCTTAGCCACTGAGCTGCCTCTCCATCGCCACTGCTGCCTTCCCCTCCCTCTGCCTTGCCTCCCGCTCCCTCTGTGAAATGTTGTCCACTGTGATACTGGAATGATTGAGCTGAAATTCAGACCTAATTCAGATAGTTAGCACATTGTTTCTCAGGGATGTGTTCAGACCTATCAGAGAACGTGCCTTTACATGACCATCTAGAGTTTTCAAGATCATGCTTTCTTGCCCTTTAGACATAAGAATCAAATCCTTTCACAGTCTTTTTTTTTTACACACAATGCTTTATTTGTTTTAAGGAAGCTGGGAATAACTATCCATATTTATACTCTTAAGTACTTCATTGAGAAAAATGTCAAATGTTAAATTAAAGAGACCCGACTTTGATGTGTTTGCTGGTCTGGGTTGAGAAAACACTTGTTAGAACTCATCAAGAAAAGGTGTGTGTCCCAAGTTTCCACTTGCAGCCATTGACTTCTTGTCAGAAACAAACTTTTTTTGCAGCCTTTATGATATCAGCATCAGCTACAGAGTCAATTTGTTGAAGGAAGGTGGGTGGAGACATGTAAGAGTCAGCAACTAGAGCTTGTGACCCAATCTCACTCAGGAAACCCTCTGAAGTCTCCACAGACATCAGGTATCCAGCTTTCAGCTTGTTCTTGGCAGCTTGGACATCTACACTGGAAAGGTTTTCTTGAGCAACTGCTTTTACTTGGTTGTAGGCAGCCTTGATAACATCTCCAGCAGCTGCAGCTTGGGAAACAGTGTAGATTCCAAAGAGCCCAGAATCTGAGTAGTTGGCATTAAATGCAGAAACATCCAAAGGCTGCTGACTTCCTTGGGCAACACTCTGGCTTAGGAGGCTGGTGGTATTGTTGCCCCTCTTGATATGTGGTCCAGCACCAAGAAGATGCTGAAGTACACTGAATGCATTTGCTTCTGTACTTCCAATGGCAGCATCTTCTGCTACATTAGCAGCATGGACAAGGTTGTCTCTAGTTTGCTCTCGAATTTCACCTCCACGGTATTTGACTTTTGCACCAGCTAAACCAAGGCCATCCCTCATGTTGAGAAATTGTTCAGCAGCCTGTTTTAGGACAGAATGACTCACACCAAGTCCAACCAAAGCCATTCTTGCACTTGTGAAGTGGTTCTGAACAAAGAAATGTAACTCCTCTGATGTAATTTTCCCCATCCTATAGTCAGGACAATACAAGGGATTAGCCAAGGCATTCTTGTAGGCAGCATCATGCAACTTCTCAATGATACGAGTCTGTGAATTCTGAAAGGCAACAGCTTTGTCAATCTTTAGCTGAGACTGAAGGTCAGCTACTTCCCAATGGCAAAATTCTGGTGCTGTGGTGACATTGAGCAGAAACTCCATCAGGATTTCAATATCATTTCGCGTGCCTTCTACAGCGTAAGCCATGGTTTCCCGTGTTGCAGTCACACTTAATTTACCACCAACTGCTTCAATTTTGCAGGTTATCTTGAAAGATGAAGCTCCTTTGATAGTCAAACTAGATGCAAGACGTAGTAAATGAGTGGTTCCTAAGTTGTTGGAGTCCTCATATCTACTCCCTGCTTTAACAAATAAGCCAATTCTTGGTAGAGGAGCATAGTTTTCCAGAGAAGCAATCACCAAACCATTAGGTAACTTGGTGAACTCAAGATCCTCGGGCTGCAGAGCCACTCCTCCAGGGGCGGCTGAAGTTTTAACCTTCGGGGCAACTTTGAGGGAATAAAATCTCGAGAAGGACCCAGCCCAGCTGAGGAACTTCATGGCTCTAGTGTGTGCCCTTTCCCACGGTCACTGCCGCCGGGAGCGAAGAAAGATGGTGTCCTCCTTTCACAGTCTTAATTACACATATATGCAAGGATTTTTAATCTCTTGTCTTTAATTTTGCTTATGGCATTTTAAAAAAATTTCTTCTTGGATGATGCATGTGCTCATTTCGCTGGAAAACTCTCATTTATTCTTTAACTTCAAACCTCCAGTCAGACACACAAGCCCTAGTGTAACCCACTGGTCAGACTCATTCTCTCCTTTTGTCGGTGTTCTTCCCATTCCCCCAGTACATGTGACAAGGTCACCTTGTGATTGCAGATCTTCACTGTCAACTTGATTGTGATTGTATTGATAATTACCCAGGTGATGGGGATACACACTGTGGTGTGTGTGTGTAGGTATTCCCAGAGATGATTGAGGAGCAAAGACACCCCTAAATGTGGGTCACAGCGTCCCACTGAACAAAAGGGGAGGGGGACATGAGTCTCCTTTTCCCCCTCCTCAGCTACCGTGAGCTGTCATGGTCTACCCCATGGTGCCCTGCTCACTGTGATAGACTGAATTTTCATTTTGGTTATCTTTGTGTTGAGATTGTACATGTATTCAGATGGACAGCTCTTTCAAGTTTCATATAGGGATCTCCTTAGTGACCATTCTTCTCTTGTGGGCTCAATGTCCATTACCACTGAGAGAAAGGAGAAATCACTGAAACAGCAACACCAGAACAAACCAAATATAGAAATAAAGCTAAAATCAGTTACACCAATTACTACACCGTCTGTCAGCATGGAGAAGGAGACAGTAAAAATGTGGCAGAATAAAATATGAAAGTTAATAAAGTGTAAGTAATAAGTGAGAAAAAGGGGGTAGCGGGGCTCAATAAAAGAGAAAAAGGAGCAAAAGGGGAAACAGTGTGAGGAGATCTACATTTAGAAGACAACCAAAGGGAACCTAAAATCCTGAGCCTGGGGCTGACTGGCAGCAGTGCTTTATCCAGGCTAGAGTAACAGCCTAGCAGAATTCTGCTGCTAAAGGTCAAAACTCTAAGCTTTTGAAGTCTTTTTTGTTGTTGTTGATTTTTATTGAGCTCTACATTTTTCTCTGCTCCTCTCCCTGTGTTTCCCCTCCCCTTTAACCCTCCCCCAAGGTCATCTTGAATTTTGCAGGAAAATGGATGGAGCTAGAAAAAATCATTTTGAGTGAGGTAACCCAGACACAGAAAAACAGTTATCACATGTGCTCACTCATAAGTGATTTCTAAACATAAAGCAAAGAAAACCAGCCTACAAATCACAATCCCAGAGAACTTAGACAACAATGAAGACACTAAGAAAGACATACATAGATCTAATCTACGTGGGAAGTAGAAAAAGACAAGATCTCCTGAGTAAATTGGGAGCTTTTGAAGTCTTAATGTAACAATAGCATAGTGAGGGAAAGAAATCAGAAATATTTTATGTATTTTTAAGCTACCCTCTTATACCCTCACAAATACAACCACCCACCTCAAAATACATTCTGTGATCCTCACAACCCAAGCCTTTATGCCCTCAGACCCCTAAAACTTATACTTACATACCTTGGTCATTTTAAAATCACAATTTAAGCATTTATATCCTAGACCATTTTTTGTATCCAATCAGCTTTAGAGACACAAATAATTATTACTGAAACCAGTCATAGCCAAGCATGTTTCTTTAGTGGAAAGTTAAACATGAAACCTGTTTATCCTTTAATATGAAACCTGTGACAAGGCAAACCTCTCTGTCTTTGTTAGCTTTAACTAACAAATGCACTGACTAATGAACTAACAAGGTGGCTATGGCCTTGGGGGAAGGAGCTGTTAACTGGAGAAGCTATCATTAGCCTAGTCATCAAACACCATCAGAGATTTGAAAAGGACTGATCAAAATGATAGAGACTTACTGGCTACCTAGACAGCTACCCCAGCTTCCTCCATGGTCTTTGAGCCAGAGGTCTGAAGGGCAGCATCAACCTTTGACTGCCAGACCCAGAAGATTCAGTAGACAGTGTAGTAGGAGGCCGCTTCTTTATTTATTAACCTATAAAAGCAACATATATACAGACGGACCTCCCACACCAATCCAGTTTTTTAATTTTCTCTAAAACTCTAAAATTTTCTTTTAAAGAAGTTTAAAATCTTTTAACTGTGCTCTGGTAATACCAAAATAAAGTACCATTTTTATTTCAAGAGTGAAGACATAGAGCATAACCATAATCTGCGTAAGGCAAAACCAAGTTCTAACAGTGTAAACAATCCGTTGTTTCTAAAATCAATACCAAGTTCTAACAGTGTAAACAATCCGTGTCTCTAAAATCAATACCAAGTTCTAACAGTGTAAACAATCCGTGTCTCTAAAATCAATACCAAGTGGATTCATTTTTTTTTTTTGTCACAAGCTTGGTGCTAGCAAGATACGTTCTTGCATATGGAAGCTTTAGTACCTCATTAAACAAGTATTTTTTAAAATCCTATCTTTATAAACCTGGTTAAGACATGACAGGAATTATACAAATTCTTATCCCAATGTAAAAGCATCTCTTGAGACCTGCTGTCTCTTTGGCTGGCTCATATCACATAGTCGTCCTCAATCAAGATGATGGTGAAGCCATGGCACCTGTCCTTTTCAACCCTAGTCAAAATGACGATCACCCGTGTGATTGGCCTTAGTTAAGATGGCAGCAAGCCACGTGTTTTTCTGAATGGATCTAACCCCAAGTTACAAATTTCAAGTTAACTTTTAGTTACAGATGTTACAGACTTTTATCCATACTCAATAAGTTATTAATCTATAATCAAGACATAGAGAACATAGTATATTCACACATTCAAGTCCAGTCAGAAACTAATATGTAGTGGCCACATGTACTTACATATTGAGTGGAGCCTGAGGCATTTCTGCACAGCCCTGTGTTTGCAAGAAAATATATAGGCACAGATTCATTTATACATATAAAATAACAAAACTTTTCCTGAAGAAGGATGCTTAAAAGAAATCCCACACTAGCTCATAATTGAGTATAATAAAAGGTTATTTATTTAGGATTAGACTCACAGATCACAATCCTCTGCTGGAACAGGGAACAGCAACTGAATCCCACAGCCGGAAAAGGGATGGATAGGCATTTTACATTGGCATATATAGTATAAGGGGCTACACCCAAGTGGGCAGGTAACTTAAAGGCTACTGGCGGTAGGAATTCCTACAGCACCTCCCCCTTTTGTTTAAATAAGAAAGTCCTAAGCCTAATACAAAGTTATATACAATAAGCACAAATACCAGGTATAAAAATTAGAATTATAACCAGCATAAACAATATCAAGCAAGAAACGTGATAAATGTTTCAATAATTATCCTATTCTAATGAGTTTAAGTCTTGTATATAAATAACTTGACCAAGTCATGAGAGGAAAGTAACTACAACTATCTAGTCTTCAACCCCAAGGAAGACCCGAGAAGGGAAATAATATTACTTGAGTAATCAGGAAGAACAATCAAGCCACTTCCAAAATGTTCAACAAATGACAGAGACAACTGGCTACCTGAGCAATCACTCAAAGTCTCATTTTGCAACGTTGGAGCAACCAACTTTGGTTAGGCCTTGAGTAACTGACAGACCATTTTCAGAGGCAAGAAATTTTTCAAAACTAGCTTAACCGTGTCTTGGCATGATCTACTGGCTGCAGAATAATCCTCTATGTTCACCACCTGTCACCTTGCCCATCTTGATCAGTGTTGTTCTATAAGACAGTAGAAGTCTAGGCCTGATGCCATGTTGGTTTACCTTTTTTTCTGTATAAATAAAGTGAATCTCTTTGGTACAGTTAATTTCTTGTGAGTCACTCTGTGGAAGTGTGGCAAAGCCAGTAGCTCTCAGTGATTCCTGTGACTCCTAGAAACACCACACAGCTTCTTGGGGACTGCCTGACTGACAAACTAATATTTAATGATGAAATACATAAAAGTAATGAAAATAACACTGAAATTTTGCCTATGGCAAAGTGAGTACAGTTGCTTCAAAGATAGAGCAGTCATGTTATTTGAGATTTGTAAAAGGAGCAGTGGGCTGCGTCCAGCCACCCAGCTAGCTTTACCTGAAATAATTACACAGAAACTGTATTCATTTAAACACTGCCTGGCCCATTAGTTCTAGTCTCTTACTGGCTAACTCTCACATCTTGATTAACCCATTTCTACAGGGAGAGGTCCCCTGTAGGCATCACGGTCAGCAGTGAAACAATCCTCAAAGAAGTGAAAATGAAAGCTTGGTTCAGCTCAGCTTAGCCAGGCTGTTATGCCAGGCAACTTATTACCAGCATATTTAAACATGGTACAATTCGGGGAAATTTTTCTGGTGTAATACAATCCCCAAGTGCTTGAAGAAGCATAATTACATCAAAACTACATGTGATTTCTTCTAAGAAGATGGGTTCTAGAGATAGACTCCCTGTATTTGCTTAAAGATCTAGGGAAGGATCTGGCATGGTCTCAGTCACACAGATAGAACAGAAGTTTTTTGGTACTGGTTGTGGGAGCTTGGGGGAGTCCCTGACTATACAGATAATGTAAGGGTTATTTAAACTACTGACTACCTCCGGTCCTGGTATGGGAACTTGATTTGGCCTGGCCCTTTAAATAATGCAGACCACCAGGCTGTAAATCACCTCCAGTTTCCAGTCTTCTGACTAGAAAAACAGGTTATAAGTCCTTTTCTTTGAAAGGACAATCCTGCATGCTTTCCATTCCTGATATCCCTGGAATCTGTAGATGCAAAGACCTTCACGCTCCTGACACAAAGGTGTTATAATTTTCTTTAATTATACAATGGCAGATAGACTTTGTGGCTATACCACAGTTGAACAGGATCACAGGATATGGCCACTATCAATAATGGTTTCTCTACAGCCTGTAAAATCAGGTAAATCTTAACAACCCACAACCCCATTATCTAATACTTAGAGCTTTTCAGGCCATGTGGCCTCTGTCATAAGTTCCCCGCCCTGATACTACAGCACAAAAGCTGGCAGAGATAATGACCAAGTGGATGACCATGCCTGTGTCCCAGTACGTATGGACACCACAACTTTAGCAATTTTCATGAGACACAAATGCTTTCTTTTGGGGTTTCCAAGTAGTTAAAAATGAAAAGGCCATTCTGGGATTATTAGCGAGAAAACTAAAAGGTTCTGGACTGGATGTGGTCCTTGACCATAGTTAGTCAAGTTTTGAACTGGTGTAAAGAGCACAGGTTTCTCTTAGAGAATCACTCATAACCAAGACTTGTATATTAAAGTGTGATGGAGGGCACGATTGCAGAATGCAGACTTTTTAGCACAGGGAAATTATGTCCTATTTTTCATATGTTCATTTTAAGAATATTTTAATTGTGTGAATCAATAGAATATAACATAATAATACTTGATTTTTAATATATACATGCCCTTATTATTACTTTGTGTTTAGATCCATCTACTTCTTCTCCTCTAGAAATTAATAAAATATATTCTAGGTTTTTGTGAGTCATAGTCCTCTTGCTGTTCTTTACTTTTATCTGAATGAGGATACCTACTATCTAATCTCCAGCTGTCCCTTCACTCTCTACCATCGGGTCCTCTAGAAGTCGCTCTTCTTAGACTTCTGTTGGCTTTTCTAAAAAAAATATCACAAAACAAAACAATAACACACATTTGAGGATGAGGGTAAAGGAGTGGGCTGTGGAATGTTTCTTTCTGCTTCTGATTAATTTCATTTAGTGTGATGTCCTTTAGGTCCATCCATTTGGTTGACCTGATGAGACACCATTTTTTTATGCTTAAATAACACTCCATTATGCTTAATCATTCTATTTTTTTAACCTTTACAGCTCATGGGCAAGTTGAACTTCCTGAGTTGATGGATAAAGTGAAAACTCTCACAGGTAATAAATTAATATAAATCAAATTATAAATTATATTTAGTTTGTTTTACCACCTTATCTTTTGTATGTTAAATTTTTATCTGATTTATCTAATGTCCTAGAAATGTGTTTTTTATTGTCTTTGGTTCTGTAATAAAATTTTAGTTTTGTGTCTTGGTAGAAAGTTATTTGATATTTATATATGATAAGAAAATATTTCAATATGGAAGAAAAAAGCAAATTCTAGATTAAATCATTGAATGATAGAGTAAAACTCTGATACAGATGTAGGTGATTTTATTGTTTAAAAATTTTCAGAAACCTGGCATGACTTACTTGGATAATAACGTTTCAATTCATTAGGAAATTATATGCATGAGCCTCTTTTTCATGTGCCTTGGTAGCCTACACCACATTTTAGCTATGTTGTCTTACTTTTATTAATATGAAGTGAAGCATTTCACTAGCTTTGAGCAAAAATATTTATTCACAAATCCAATTGTGTGTGTAAGTTAGTGTATGTGTGTGTGTGTGAGAGAGAGAGTGTGTGTGAGAGAGAGTGTGTGAGAAAGAGTGAGAGAGTGTGTGGGAGAGTGTGTATGAGAGTGTGTGTAAGAGTGTGTTGTGAGAGAGAGTGTACATGTATGAGAGAGAGAAGGTGTGTGTGTGAGAGAGAGTGGGTGTGTATGGGAAAGAGAGAGTGTATGTGTGAGAGTGTGTGAGATTGTGTGTGAGAGAGAGTATATGTGAGAGAGAGTGTGTGAGAGTTTGTGAGAGTGTATGAGAATGTGAGAGTGTGTGTGAGAATGTGTGTGTGAGAGAGAGTGTGAGAGTGTGTGTGTG